GAGAGGAGAGGGAGGAGAGGAGAGGGAGGAGAGGAGAGGGAGGAGAGGAGAGGGAGGAGAGGAGAGGGAGGAGAGGAGAGGGAGGAGAGGAGAGGAGCGGAGAGGAGAGAGATGTGGTGAGTTACTTGCTGGTGAGGGGACTTTCTTGTCTGAAGTCTTCCCGTTGCTTATCAACTGCGGAAGTATGCCTCGTGGGATCAATCGAATCCCATGGAGCTGAGGTTGGCAAGCCGTCGTAAATTACGGCTTGAGTAGTTTTGGCCCCAGCTCCATCCTTGCCAGTCCGTGGACGAGTTAAATCTTCTGTTGCATCTCCTGCGAGGCACTCGGGTGCTAGCATGGCCAAAGCATGATAGCATGGCCTTGAAGCACCTGAATGGTGCAAGGATGATGCCCCAAACACAGCTAAGTACAGCACCCATCTGTGACACGATGAGTCGGTTTGTTTGAGAATGAAGGGCACCTTTGAGGAGACATACCTTTAGTTATTTGATGTTGCTTGTGGTTTATATTGCACAATGTGCAGTTGTTGTTATCACTCAAGGTCTTGAACTGTCGTTGTCAAAGACTTTCGGTTGCTTGCAACTGTTCTTGAGTGATAGGGAAGAAGAAAGAAAGAAATTCACGGGAGCAGGAAGTTAGCAGCTTATATAGCCCTTCGAAGCCATCAAGAGTTCCAGTGGAGTCCTGGTGGAATCCTAAAGAAGTCGTAAGGATGAGACACTGTTGATAGTGCCTCACCGTACCATAGATTGTCACACTTGCAAAAAGGTTAGATAGGATAGTTGGTAGTCATTCGGTGGACTTACAAGGGTTAATCGTAATATATCCACCTCACAACACTGAAGCCATGTGGAGTCTGAAGCGCCCTTTTCCTTGATCATGATGATTTTTCAAGGAAATTGAAAGTTTGACTTCCGTTCAGTCACGACTTAGCGGGTCGATCCAGAGTATCATATTCGGCTCGCGGCTCAGAATAACACTAACCTGGTGGGGAGGAGTTGAACATGCTGTTAGGTTCAGGCAACAGTCTCTGGAGCCAAACTTGCTGTTGTTTGATGCTATGAGAGTCTTGCTGGCTTGAACTATGTCTGCTGTAGACGATGTTAACAACCTCCGGTAAATGCGCGTGGTGACGAGCTTGCCTTGCTTCAACTCGCTTTTCCGCAACTCTTCAGGAAAGTACGGGTGTCTTCAGCGAGACATGTTGTGTGAAAGCACATTGACCTGCTTCTTCCATCTCTTTCCCAGCATTATCGGATTTTGAGCGCATGTTACGGTCAAGGTTTTGGCAAATGATCAGGCATCCAGAGTGCTGTACCCACGATGTGTCGAGTGACACCCAGTAGCTGAATGGATACTTAAAAATTTCAAACCACGGATGACAAGTGAGAGAGTTTTACCTGTTTGTGGTTCAAGATCTGATCAAGCCCTGAACAAGGGAGGACTTTAGGAAATGGTGACCATTTCCACGCTTGGTCAAGTGATCTCAGGCACTTCGCCCACTCCATTTGTTTGCTTGATGCATTAGCGTGAGACATGAAAATACAAATCTCAAGAGACCACATAGCCTTTTCAAAACACCATGCATCTCATGTCTTGCTATGCCTCTCTAAGAGGATCTCCAGGTGGTTGGTCTCTGGACCCATCAAGAGTCAACCATATGATTGCCAATCTTTGGGGGACACATCTGTGAGATTGTGGATCGAGAACAAGTCTAGTTCGTGCAAACCACAGGAACACATTGAGTTCCAAATATACATTTTCCTTGATGGTGTTTCTTGGGGTGCAGAGTTGTTGTTGTCGTTGAAAGTGAGGTGGGGTTAAAGTTAGGAAAGGAGCGACCTTGGCCTTCCAAAAGAAACGAGATGCAGGTCTGCTCTTCATATCCTCGTGATCTACCGTAGCCATCTACGGCGGGTAGTTAGAGCACTCTCCACCAGCCCACCCTAAGGACATCTCGTAGGCGACACCTGCAGCCTGCTGGTGCCTAACAACGAATAACAAAGTGGGCCGAGGGGGCATATAGGCTACTCTCTCCAGGTAGCAAGTTGTCCCAGTAAGTCGGCCGAGGGGCACCCTGGCAGCCCATTTGATTATCCTGTGAGGTGCCCCCTGCCCTTCACCTTCGTCATCCTCAATTCCCCGTCCCCATTCCCGGTTTACCATAGAACTGTACCACAGACAGGCACACCAAATATCACTACCTGCCTACTCATCATCCAACAACATGTCTTCGATCCAGTATTAATACTCTGTCCATGTCTACTCTATCTTCTACTCCACAGTAGACTTGCATCCCACTCACAAAAGCCCATTTACCTCTCTGCTTTGCGTGGTATACCGAAGAGCCTTCCTTACGCCGCTTGCCGTTTGCGGGGCGCCAGCTGTGCCGAGTCCTTCTATCATCTGATCCAACTCGGCGTTGGCAACATCTATCTCATCGCTCAACTTTTTCACCCAACATCCACAATGTTCGCCGCGAAGAGGCTGGGCAAAGTAAGACTCAAGTTTTGTCTTCAACGGTCAGGCTAGAGAAGTGCTGAACCTCTTTTCAGGAATTACAAAAGGCTAAATTAAAACTTCCGCCGGGCATCGATCTCGTGAAGTCGGATGACTTCCGAGAATGGCAAGTTGACATTCAGGTCTTGGACAGCAACCCTCTATACCTCAATCAGGTCTATCGTCTCTGTTTCATCTTCTCCGACAGTTACCCTATAGGTTCGTAGCACCAGGCCCTTCCAATGAATACTGCCAATTCCGTGGCCTCTAACCCTTGCGCTGGTTCTATAGAGGCCCCCGAGGTCTGCTTCATCCATGTCCCAGCTTCAGCCAGCGATCCTGCCGCCACTTCTTCCTCATCGTCGTCATCATCATCGTCGTCATCACAGCCTTCATCTTCCCCATTCGCCGGCCGTTCTATCCCCATCCACCCCCACATCTATTCCAATGGCATCATCTGTCTCGACCTACTCGGTTCAGCAGGCTGGTCTCCAGTCCAAAGTGTTGAAAGCGTGTGTATGAGCATCCAGAGCATGTTAACCGGCAACACCAAGAATCAACGACCAGAAGGGGATCAACAATTCTGTCAAAGCATGGGAGTGAGGGGGCCACATGGCTGGGGTGGAAGGAGGAGCGGCGGCAATGGTAGAGGATTAAGAGACGTCAGATTCGCATACGACGACGACACAGTATGAGAGATACACAGGATGCGATGCAGCCGTTAATGACCATCATGACATGTAAGCAAACTAGAGCACGGCGATCTGGCAATGGGGCTCAAATCTGGCGTTGGATGGTGAAACCCTCCTGCGGGAAAGGGGAATGGACATGGGAACAAGGGCAGTTCGAGGCCGTTTCTTGACCAAGAGATGCATACCTCTCATTGTCTTGAATAGAGACGAACTGGCACAGGCGTATCAGCGATATTGGGTTTCTCCTTGGAGCCATGACCGTTGGGGCAATATTGGTAAAGTCATAGAACATCATTTCCATTGGTGACTTCTCACGATTCTTGATGGGTTCTTTTGGAGAAAATAATCCCACCAGGACACAGAACAGTATCGACAGGACAAGAGCCTTTGCTCTCATCTCGGCTTCCTTCCAGGACTACCACTTCGCACAGGTGTACACATGCTGCGATTCAATTTTAACTCTACAGTGATTTCGATCAATTATTCGCCCAATTCGTAGTACCTTCGTACTTGTTGGTCGCTGTTTCCTTGCTCCCTTGTTTGCCTGGAGTACGTCGGCGAACCTCCATACAAGTCCTACGACTAGATATCAGACTCCCAATTTTTAGTCAAAGTCGGCTGCTCTTGCTCTCGCAGCACCACCTCCGCCTACATCTCCTCCTCGTTTGCCTCGATTTCCTCGTTCGTCACTCATGTTCCGTCCATATTTTCCTTTCCTCTCCGGGGAAGCGTCCCTCTTTCCGTTCCATCTTCGTGGGGGTGACCGACTGTCTCTGCTACTGGCGCTGGATGAATTTCTGCGTCTCGCTGGTGCCGCATTTCGCCGTCGTGGCGGGCTACGGCTGCGTGAACGCCTTGCAGAAGACGGGCTTCGACTATTGGTCGCAGCCCGACCGCGTACTGGCCGACGTTGGGGCAGAGGAGAGGGCGAGCGAGATTCGCTCAGAGAGCGGGCCCGGCGACCAAATTTGGTTGACGATGAACCTGCTTTGTCGAAACGTGGAGGAGACCGGGATCTGGAGAGCGAACTGTCTGGTCCTCGTCTTGGTGCGCGTTGACCGCGATCAGGAGAGGGTGAAATAGGCCGTTGGCGTCCTCCACGCTCGCGGAGAGCGTCTTTTCGAGGCGGGCTGCGAGATCTTGAGGGACTGGAATATGATATTGATCGTGTTCGCGCCCGACCACGACGCACTTCTGATCGTCTAGGCTCGGGCGATTCAGAGTAGGAAGGAGATTTCCTCCTCGTTGAACGCCGCGGGGTGGGTGACCTGGAAATCGACGAGCTGGGGCTCCGGCCCCTTGGCTTACCCGTTCTCTTTCGTGGATCAGGGGATCGTGAGGCAGAACGAGAGCCGGAGCGTCCACGAGAATCTTCGCGTCCACGCGCTTGAGGCCTTCCACGCGCACTTGTCACTGGCCTCTCCCGCGAAGGGCTGCGTGTATAGGATCTACTGGAAGAAGAATAACTTGAGTAGCTAGAGTAAGAGCTCACGCTCTCAGAGTCGGATGAAGCATCATCCTTGATGGCTGGCAGAGGTGGAGGCGCGGGCTTCGGCAAATTCTTTAGGTGTTCGCGCATCTCTTCGGTAAGCATTCCCATTCCAATGCTGGTAAAGTAGTTGACGGAGAATCGTGTATTTCTGGGGTTGTCGGTGGGGAATATTCCGGTGAAGCTTGGGCGGAGGATGTCGTCCTTCATACGCTTCTGCAGTTCAGGGAGACCTAACGCTTCAGCCAAATCTTGGAACAAGATCTTGATGAAGATACGACTACTGGAAGTTGTCTCGTCCTCATTCAAGTGGATGACTGAAAACACGTGCCATCCAATGGCATCGGTGCTGAGAAGATGGCCAAAGAACCGAGCAATGTTTCTCAAGCGGTTGGTTTCATATCGATGAATCGTGTCGTAATATTGAGCAAAGGATTGCTCGAAAAGGTCGGTCCACAAACGGTTGAGCTTGGCAAATCTTTCTCCCACAAGCCCGAAGAACTTCGAGTATGTCTTCTCCTGAGAGCAACACTCGATTATCATTGAAGGCAGCTCTGACTCCTGTCCAGGTGGAAGTTGGACTTTCATCAGCTTATGGCTGGCTTCTTCAAAGTCCAGACTTGACATGATCGTGAGATAAATGGTACGTCGGAGGTTGACCAAGTCGGTATTTGTCTGGTCCTTGATCTCCATCGCCTTTTCTTCTTCGTCATCTTCGCTGTCTGAGCTCTCGTCCGAACCAGAGTCGTCTTCATCCTCATCATCGCTGGCTTCGCCTAAAATTTCGGCCCTTAGTTTTCGGTACGACTCCTCGTGTTCTTCCCAGTCTGGGTCAAATTTGAAAATGTTCAACGTGTCTTGGACATCAACCTCATCGTCCAAATCTACCTGGTGTGTGATTTGATCTTCTTCCTCGACCAGATCAAGCTCCTCCCGTATGGCTGGGTTGTCTTTGTAGCGGTCTTTGCGAACCTGAAACAACACTTCAATCATGTATTGCACGCGCTTATCGATATCAGCTTCGTGAAGAATGCTGCGGAACTGGTCGAAAACAGCAAGGGCGATCGGCTGACTCATTTCTTCAAGGTGCTGTCCCACTTCCCGCGTTAGTCCGACAGCAATTTCCACAGAGTCGTCTGTTGGCTTGTGGAGGAGGAGAAGGAGTAATTGTGCTGCTACCGTTTCATGGGCGACCTGCTGGTTGCAGAGATGTGCGATGAAGGTCGTCGAGGATAAGCAAACAGCCTTGTCGTTCCGCTTGAAGGCCTTCCGGAACTGGACCACTAGACGATTGAGAAGGAGTTCGCCAACTTGTGGCAGTTTTGTGTTGACAATAGCAGCCATGGCGGCGTATATTGGTGTAAAGGGGAGGGATGCAGCTTGGGCTTTCATGATGCTTCGGCAAAACAAACCACGGCCACGAACCAGATTTTCATTGAACAACTCGGGAACAATATGTTTGATGTTTGAGACGTTGATTTTGTTGACAAGACCGTTGATAGACTTTTTCAAAGCCTCCCAGGCCATGCGCTGGTATTCCTTGCTCGTCTTGTCGGTTATCTGGGACTGCAGTTCTCTCAGTCGAGCAGGGGGTATGTATGTTCCTCCAGAGCGCATGGTCAACAGTTTGTCGTATTCGGCTTTTGCGGCAGCCTGTCTTTCCTCGGCAGAGAGAGGCTTGCGTCTGGCAGATTCTGGTTCCCGCGGTCGGAATCTGGCCATCAGTTCTCGCTCCCGGTCATCCATGGGTCGTGCATCGTCAAGATCATTTTGCTTGAGATCGGCATGATCATCATCCTGTGCGGGTCTTCGACGGCGTGGGGAGCGCGAGGGTGACCGCGATGGAGGGGATCGCTTTCGTGTGTTTGATGGCCCTGGAGAGTATGATTCACCAGGTGGAGGTGTGGGAAGCCGGACGGCAGAAGAGAGCAACATGGTGTCTGCCATGTTGCCAGAGCGGTTGGTCAGGGTACTTTTCCTCTGGAAGACTGTTGCTTTATAACATGGTTGATTAGAGTCGAGAAACTGGCTGATAATTTAGGCACGATGGACTTGCAACTTGGAGAGACAAAACCAAACTTGTCGCAGAAGCCAAGATTATATTTCGGCTAACATGCTATTCTGAACACCAGTCGGCATGGTTGCCTTATATTGCCTAGACCAGAGATCTATGGATGTCCCGATTGGGAATCTTGACTTTGACTCGACGCGCGAGTTGCAGATTCGTGTCCTGTTCAACAACCCCAGATCATTCACACCACGCCTGGCACCTTTTGTATTTCCCAATAGACCTGAGACGTTCAGATCGACTGTGCTGTAAAAGGAGTCTGCGAATATGGTATAGGCACACTTTCTGACCCTCATCTTCTCCCCTTTGTGTCGAGGCTAACAACTGTCCTAGTTGGATAAAATTGTAGGAATGGCAATGCTCATAGCAGCCACCACAATCTTCCTCTACTACACCCTCTGGACACTTCTCATGGTATAATTACACAACATATGAGATTTAGCTTTATTCTAACATTATTTACAGCCATTTGTGGACGATGATCACCCTCTGCAGGCGCTGTTCCTACCCCGTGTTTGGGCAATCCGAATCCCCGTCATTCTCACACTCTTGGGCTCTGCCGTAGTGGGTACTTTCCTGGCTTTGGTCATGATCAAAAGCAGCAGAAAGAAGGCAGCAAAGGCTAGAGCAGCAGCAGCCAAAAAGTCAAATTAGATGAGGAAATCTTTCGACAGGAGAAAAGGCAATCAGCATATCAAAAGAGGAGTCTTGTTCAGGATGGCAGAATCAGAAGTTGAAGCCTGCATGGGAGTGGAAAGAGCACCAGAATATCAACAGAACATAGGCTCATAGCCGACAGCTCAGCATTATCTCGCGCCGTCTTTGGAAACGTTCTGCAAGAGGATGCCATAACCTGAGAGGTCCCATGGGATGCAACACATGCGGCAGAGACTTGGCCTGTGTCTGAGAATTCCCCGGCGAGCCTTGATACACATTTATCACAATCTCCAGCGTGTGTCGGCAAAACAGAACACTTGACCGAAATGATTCGTCCAGTCGCCTCCGACAGAACATGGTGGCGACAGGTTCAAGAGTTTGGGATAGCTTGGGGCGATATGAGAACATATATACCAGGGATTTGAAGCTGGGGCATTCGCCGCCAGCGTTAACTGGGGACTGAGCAGGATTTCACTTCCTGATTGAATCCAGAAAAGTAGAAGCCACTGGCTGTAGGTTTGATTCGTGTTGCCGAAAAAATCTACTTCAATGTACTCACGAGAAAATTGACATGGCCATGAACAGTACTACCCATGCATGTACGCACCTTTGCCACTATTGAATGTCTTTAAACAGGAGGGTAATCTATCCCATTATCGTCTATGATTCAAACAGGTTGAATCGTGCCAAGCGACCATCATGGCTTCCACGTGACTGACTAACTGACTATACGTGGCACCTCACCAAACCAATTCACACATCTCACTCCGTACAGACAATAACTCATTCAACATGTGTGATCTGTACATGCATTCACAGCCTTTTGACCTTTGCCAATTGACGATTAAGTAAGTGTTAAGTGGGCAGAATCAAAACGTGAGATAGACCACAGAATTTCCCCGCACCTAAAGATAGTGCTCTCTCTGTGTGTGCGCGTCCATATACGAACGAATGAATCTAGAATGAGGGCGAATCCCAGCCACACAGGAAGCGACCAGAGTATTACACATACCTACCCAGGCGAGTGTGTCAGGGCAACGCGGGGCTACCTGCAGGTCACCGTCATTCGCATCACAGGATCAGTGAGCATGGGCACAAAGCCGCATAGCTTGTCTCTCAGGTGAGTCCATGGGTTTATTATTAAGGTTGCAGGCTGAGAGTGCAGATCGGCCGAGGGGCCTAATCCTGTCATTGCCCGATAAGCACCCAAGCACCCGTTTGGCTCCTCTGAGGCCTGAAGGGCCCTTAGAGCCACTGGAGGCCCCTCGGCCCCCTCGGCCACCTGAGGTCACTGGAAGAGTCACCACCTCCCACGCCGCCTGACTCACAATGACCTTCCAGGCCACGCAGGCCTACCAGGACAACATGTTGCAGTGCTCCAAACCGCAATCAGGCTTGATTAAGCTCTAAGCTCCCCTCCCACCTTCCCAAGCTAAACCCAGCCAAGTACAAGAGACAACGCGAGGCCGTCATCCACCATTTCTCCTCACCGTCCACCTTGTAGTCTGCACCAACATATCACCTCACTCAAGTCTATTCGCATTCTTTCAACCCTTGCCATTCAAAGTCATCCTCCACAGTACACTTCTTCGTCTATCAAAGACACATCATTGGAGTTGTCCCATTGCTAGGCATTCAGATCCCAGGTCCAGGTTTCAGGCTACGCGCCTACTCCAATCCAAACACCCGCCGTCCAGCCGATTACGCTCCATTGACCCCGCGCCAGCCACAGGGTCAACCAGCCCTGTTGCTCTCCGCCTCACGATCCAGCGAAAGAGTACATGCTCCGAGTGCTCGTTTCCGAGTTGTCACTTCGGTTGCAGATAGAGCTTCTTTGTTGAGGGCACCCACCTCGCTGCCCTCGACCGAGCCTCCTTCATCCCTTGAATGCCAGCTTACAACAAGGCCACCTCCTCAAACCTCAAAAGGACAGACCCCTACCCTCAGCCCGCGGACGAATCGGACAGTCAAAGCATAGTGGCAGACCAAGATTCCTCTTCAAGAGCTGGGAAGCGGAAGATCAAGAATGCTGTCAAATCCCCATCAGTCAACCATCTTGACCATGCAGACAAGCCCTCCACCGCCGATCAAATGGGCCCCTCGAATACCTCGATCCTCGGGCAGCTGCAGCAGGGATTCTCTCAGTCCCGGAAGACTCCAGGCCAAGATGCCCTGAACGATATGAATTCGACTCAAAAAGTCTCAGATGAATCTACTCCTCCCCTCGATGTCTGGGGCAGATCCGCTGCCGTGAGCAGGAGCCCCCCAGCCGACACCATTCCCGGCCTCAATATATCCGGTTCACCTCGAGTGGAACCTGGCTTCAGTGGCAGAGGGCCTTTTGCATCAAGGAGTCCTCCCATTTCTCCACCTTTGAGGAAAGCCAGACCTGTAAGCTATGGGAGTAGTATTCCTCCCATGCCATCCCATCCACGCATGTCTACCTCGCCCTATGGCTACGCCCAAGGAGCCTATGGATCTCCCCCTGTACCTCCTCACCTCCCTCAACAGCACTTTTATGGTCCCCACGATGTTGACCTGAATCTTCCAGCCTCTGAAGCCCGTACAAGATTTCAACATCCTACACCACTTAAACTTTCATACCTCGCGGGACCCGGACAAGAATGCACCAACCTGGTCTTTCTCGCCGTTGACAATGGCCTCAGCATTCTGAGCTCCAATGGTGAGAGGCTAGAACAGATTGGCGCTCTTCACGGAATGCCAGGCACTGTTCTGGATGCTTGTATCTTGACCTGGAGTGCCGGCAATGATCCTCTGGCAGAGTATCGCCCACTGGTCGCTGTTACACTTCATGGCACGACCTCTTTGACACACGACTCACCCACTGCACATGAGCAACCACACCCCAGAGCCAGGGATGAGGTCTACGAGACTCGAGTTGTTGTCTATTCTCTGACCAAACGATGCCTCGTCACTGAGCTCTTGAGGGCACCTTCACCTGCCACCATATATTTCGGCAATCAACCTTCAGCTGCGAACCTAAAGCTCGGTGCCAGTGGAAATTTCTTTACAATAACTTCGGGCGCAAGTGGCGAAATATTTGTGTTTGGAATCCGCAACAGCAAAGATGGAGCAGTTTTTGAGTGTTTGGCCAAGTACTGGTCGTCTCTTCAACCCCACATGCAAAGAAGGGAATCTTCCCATGGTCGAACCCCAGACCCTGATGTATCACCCGCCGATCTGGGTCGTGGGCCCGAAAGTGAGGATGCTACTATTATGAGCCTCAATGGAAGATGGTTAGCCTTTGCCCCTGCCAGCACTCCATCACCTCCGTCTATTGGGGCCGTCCTCGGCGATTTTGTGGCCCAAAACAAGAACTCCCTCGTGGCTGCTGCGGTCGCTCCTCCAAGACCTCAAGTCAATTGCGAAGTGGACTCTCCGGATGCTGAGACCTTCTTCAGCAAGGTTGCAAAAGGCTTTGCTCAAGAAGCTGTAAAAAGCGCCAAATGGATCGGTGAGAAGGGGATGCAGACCTGGCAAAACTACTGGAAGAAGGAAACAAGTCCAAGCATTTCTGCCTCAAATGCCTCCACACCGCCTGTGTTTTCGCCACAGCTTGGTGTTACTCAATTTCCACCCACACATGCTAGTGATTCCCCCGGTCTCACAAGAGACCTCGAGGTAGTCACCATCATTGACCTGAGATCGTTGCAGGAGAACTTGGGCAGACGCACTCCGGAATCTTGTTCAGTCGCCACTTTCCGGCCTCCTGGCGGTTGCAGTTTCCTGTCATTTGCCCCCAATGGTCTCAGTCTCATGACCGCGAACAGAAAAGGCGATGTACAGTACATCTGGGACCTCTTGCAGATCAAGTATGTCAGATCTCCATATTCGCCGGCCAACGAAGAAACCGGGCGTGTTCGTCAAATCGCCCGATATGAACGATTAAGTCCCTCTACCATCGTCGACGTCGTGTGGGACGGTCCAAATGGTCATCGCTTTGCCTTGCTGACCAGAAATCGAACGATCCATGTCTTCGATTTACCCAAAGCTGCCTTTCAATGGCCTCCTCCCCGAGCAAAAAAACATCGTCCAATGTCTGTCCCGGTGGACAGTTCACCTTTGAGACCAGATGCTGAGCTTTCTCCACAAGGTGGATTCCTGGCCTCGGCCAGAAACTTTGCCGGCCGGACGCAACCGATGCTGGCAACTCTGCGGGGAAGAGCGCCTAGTGTGACGAGCGGCATCTCTGGTATTGGCGCCTCTGGAATAGGCCTGGCTTCCACCACGGGTATCAAAGGTGGCAGAGCGGTAGCAGCTGGACTTAGTAAGTCTCTGGGTGCAGCCTCTGAAACCGTCACCAGCATTCGCCATGCGAACCAAAGCAGACTCCACCTCAAGACAGTGGCTCGTCCAGGAATGCTCATCTGGCAACAGAGAGACGGCAGGTCAGTACTGTCTGTCATTGATGCCACTACCATAAAAATTTATTACGTACGCATGACCAAGCCACGTGAGAATCGCGAGCGAGAGACGGTCTCAGTATTCGATGCCCGAAAACCTGTTGGTATCAAGCTACCGAAAGTCGGCGAGTTATTATCGGAGCTTGAGAGAAGAGGCGAGACCAACGGTCAAGGCGAAAGCCCAACCGATGAACAAGGCGATTCGATACTGGCAATGTGGAAAACCCGAACAACCAAAGAATCCAGCCTGCGCATGCCCCATCCACTTGCATCAGCTGAGATTGAGACAAATGCGCCCTTTCAACCGTTCCACTCAGACTATAGGGTCAGTGTTTCAATTCTGCCGGACGCCCAAACATTACAGTCAGGGGATAGCTCGGCTTCTCAGAACAACTCTCCCTGGGTTTTCGGTGCAGAATTGTTCACTTCACGCATGGCAACCTCCAACCCAGCACCTATTGGAGATGACAACGGTTCTGTTATCTACCGGAAGACTACTTTGGCAGTAACAGGGAACTTGCCGGTGACCGAATTTCTAGATATCGCAGACGAAGGGGTGACTCACATTGTTAGTAGCACTAAGAAAAAGAAAAAGAAGTCGAAGACTCAACCCACATTGCTCGACGAAGACGACAAGGGCGATTCCGATTTGACCTTTTCAAAACACGATCGGGGACTTGAGTTTGATATTGAGCAGACACGAGAAGATGGCCGCTAAAGATTTACTTGCTTTCGAACCAAGACCGTGATGCTGCAGGGATTGATGTTGGCTTTTGTTTCTGCGACAAAGTGGTGCGGTCATGCGGTCAGTATAGGAGGTGATGTCGCCTCTCATTGTTTAAGGTTCGGATGCATGCGTCTTCTTAGATATCGAGGTTGGATGAAGCAAACGGCTATCCGACATGACTGGGCTACTTCATCTGTCGTTTTCCATCCTGAAAGGATGACCCTGGCGCAGGGGTCAGGCTCCTCGCCCGTTAAGAGCTAAGCAGGCCACTTTCACATAGCAGTAACCAGGATTGTGCACCCCAACTGTTCAGGTACCAATATCGCTTGCCACTGGTGCAGGAAGAATCATTTCCTCTTTCAAATACGTCGTGTCTCTTCATCTGTGCAGTATAGACCATCCAGTGAGAGGCCGAGTGCTTCTTGCGGGGAGGTGCTTTCACAACATTTCTCGTGCGAACTTATCCTTCGCATTTCAATGGTTAGGAAATGGTGGGGCTTCGATGGAGAGAGGATCTTGCGTCATTTCCATAAAATGTACTCTCCCTCGGCAGTTGAGAACAAACTATACATGGACGCGGGGCTCTCGCGCTCTGAAACCTTTTTTACTCGACGCCTAAATATATATCACATATCTATCTATGTCCCCGAGTCCTCTGCGAGTCGACCATGTTTTGAGGACTTTTTTGCAAACAAGCCGTAGGCCTAATTTCCTAGCCATCAAGTATGTCTCTCAACCAGGTACTCTTGATTGGCGCGTGTGGAAATCTCGGAACCCTGGTTCTCAAGCATCTTCTCTCATCACCTTTCGCTTTTCGAGTGACTGTTCTTACACGTGCGTCGTCGGTCAATAGCCATGTGTTTCCACCGTCCGTCAGGGTCATCACTGTTTCCGATGACTACCCTGTTGATGAAGTGAGAGAAGCTTTCCAAGACATCGACGTCGTCATCGCCGCGGTATCCATGACTGCAATGCACCATCAATATAAGCTCATCGACGCTGCTGTTGCTGCTGGTGTCAAGCGGTATTTTCCCACTGAGTTCGGCTTGGATTCCATTCCCGACTGGCTGCTGGAATTACGGCCCATGTTTCGGACGAAGCACGATGTTCGAGACTACCTCATCACCAAGGAGAAGGTAGGGTTGTCTTGGACCAGCATCGTCTGTAATGTCTTCTTCGAAATGGGAATCAAATCCGGTTTCTTCGGGTTTCTCTGGGACGAGAAGAAGGCCGTGTTGATCGATGGTGGCGGATCAGAGTGGCCTGCAACAACACTGGAAACTGTCGCAATCGCCATGGTACGTGCGATTGAGAAGTCTGAGGACACCAAAAATAAGGTGTTATTGATTCAAGACTTTCCCTGCAGCCAGAAAGAGATCCTTCAGGCAATACGAAACATCACTGGAGACAGGTGGACGGTCGAAAACCGAGTTTACGAAGAGTGGCTGGACGAGGCTAAGAACGAGGTTAGAAGTGGAGACAACAAGGCATTGACGAAGTTGACCTTTGCGAGTGTGCTTGAGACGGCCAGTGACTGGGAGAGCAGACCCGAGTACGCAAATCGAATGCTGGCATTGCCGACAAAGTCTTTCGAAGTGGCAATAGCGGAAGCATTGAAGAAGTGACACTTGGTGCTCTGGAATTGCATATTCCCTCCTTGGCCTACACACAGAGGTTTCCTTCTGCCAGACTAATCGACGTTGCTGAAGGAGACACTACGAGACTTGACGAGAGGCTTGCGAGCTTCCACAGTCATTGTTCTAGCCATTGAGAAAGCTTTGTCGTTGCGGAAACAACGAGAGCAGGACCAAGCTTGTCTTCATATTTCAATACAAGGAACTCGGACTCTCAAAGACGTCTTTGATGTATGTTTTATTTGTTAAGTCAGTCATTCCCAGGAGTGTTTCTCGACGACATCGCTGTCCAGCCTGCTAAAGCGCCCTGTACTGGGTCGATGGTAGGGGCAAATGACATGATAACCTTTTCCTGAAAGGAGAGACTACCATTTGCGACTGCTGACATGGACTCTAGAAATAAGGAAATCATCACTCACCGTCAGTAATCATAGACCATCCCTGTTAGGGAAATAGAAACAAAGCGTTTTCTCAAACCTATCATCAGCCCCAGACACGAATATCACATCAATATATCCAAATGTGGAAACCTATCCATTCTTGTGAGTTGACCCGTATCGTGACAAGTACCTATACTAAGGATGACGACCCCCGTCCGCACCGACGCCGACTTGTACACTGTTCCTACGCTAAAACTTGATGCCTTTCATAAACTCCTTTCCAATGTAGCCTCTCGCATGGGTATGAACGCAAGGAACTCCACAGACGAGTGGAATTACTCTTCCATCTTGACGTCTTGCCTTGGCAGATTCGCATTCGCATTTGAGAGATTCTTCAGGAGGTATGACCTCTTGAAGTAGGTGTTTGGGTGAAAGATGGTCTCCAACTCGGCAGGGCCCCAGATACCTTCATCCTTGACCTTTTTGATTTCGGTCTTGTGTGCCCAGTCAAAGACACGATTACAGGCAATGTGAAATCTCTGCTTTTCCACGTCTTCCTTGACCCCGCGTAGTACATCGCGGTCATTGACGCCTGTCGCCTGTAGCATCGAGGTGAGATTGTCCACACTGAAATGTCGGTAAGGACATCCATGTGCTTCACCGGTGCCGGGAGGATGTTCGCTGAGAATCTTCTGGCAGGAATAGGGCGGGTAGCCTCGTCCACGCCGATTGGCGTCACCACCGACGTCGCCGTACACGTGCCTTACGTTGTATCGGTATTCCTTGTTGAATTGGTCATCAGTGATGAGTTTGAAGCTCTGTCGCCAGAAAAGGAGACAATCTTCAAGAGAGAGGTTGATACCCTTGAGGAATAATGTGTATTGCAGTCGTCCGAAGTGTTTGAGGTGGTTGTTCTTGCGGAGGGTGTTATGGAGATGTTTCATGCAGAGAGGGAAATGTTGAGAGAGGTTGTCGATGTTGGCGGCGTTGATGGGCGCTCCGGGTAGAGACGATTCTGATTCGTTGAAGCCAGCATCAGGGGTGGCGAAATTCTTCGATAGATGGTTGAGAATAGGTGTGAGACGATCATCTTCGTCTAGTCGGGGTAGAGCTCGAGAGGTGAGTTCCAACCCTTTGTCAAGACGGTTGGTGAATTCGGTCAGGACCATGCTTGTTTGTTCACGCATTGGTACATAGGCCTTGCCCTTTCTGACAAAGACGCTGCGGTGCTCAACCAGTTCGGGAACTCGAGTCCAGTCTACCTTGAACCAATTCTCGTCTTCAATTCGCCGTACCCCTGGGGTAGAGGAGAGTAACTGTTCGGCGAGCTCACGCTTTTCATCCTCCTGTACCAGTTCCCAATTGAGATTGAGACTGTCCACAAAGGCCCGTCGCTCTCTGCTGTCGTCTGCTTGAAAGCGAAGTTTAAACAGCATTGTTTCGACCCGGGAAAACCGTCGACGGAGGTCTTCAGTGCCAGAGAAGGCTAGTCGAAGAATATAATGTGAGTAGTGGTCTTTCTTCCGTTCCAACTTTAAGCGTTCATCGACGATGCCACCAGGGGCAGCCGAATTTGACGAGAGTGGAAGGTATTTTTTCAGTAATGGTTCGAGGTGAGCGGCGGTTTCTTGAGGGGATTTGGCTCGAAAAGAGCAGGCCTCGATCTCGGCCAGAACTGCAGATGGTTAATTCGTGATTGAGGTCAAGAACAGAGAATACTACTTCTGAGTCTGTCGATGGCCCATATCTCAAAGTCTTCCAGACTGATTTCCTGGGTGGGCGGGACATCATAGAACGACAGGCGATATGGATAGCCCTGTTCTTTGAAAGATGCATGTGCAAATTGTGTTTTCCGATGATCAACTCGTTTTCTTTTCGCGACTGAGCGCGCTTCAGATCGAATCATGGTAACTTGGTAGACAGAGAGTGTGTGGTCTGAATGATGTTCTTGAGGCGGGCATTGGAGAGACGATGATGAGTGTGGTTCCAATTTGGTGAGACGCGTGCATGCACCCACGACCGCGACTGATCCCCATTAACGCGACTTCTTGGCAGCCTTGCATCTCGCAGAATCCTCAGCCTCGAGTCATGAACACATCCTCATGCTCTCATGGGGGTTCGAGTTCCTCCCACTGCACTCGATATGTACGTTCTGAGACTCGGTGTTATAGTACTGGAAGTCAGCCAGATTTGCAGGAGTCTACACCAAGTTCTACAGTAGACTATCTAGCAATAAACAGCGACGATTAGCTGCTTCAGCTCTTCCAACAAAGACCAAATAGGCGGCCTATTAGGTAAAGGGAGGTGTAGGCTCTGTTCTTCACGGACCCATCTGATTCCATGTTGCTGTGATGCGGATGTACTCCGTAGTTTAATTGTTGGTGATCGCATTGCCGGTTACAGTACTTTTAATGACTACCTTATTCAGAATCATGTGAGGTCACGGGGTGCTTGTAATGTGAAGATCGCCCTCCACTTGCAGAATTCCCGGTGCCCGGCCCGCCAACCGTGACCCGTGTAGGCTGGTCAAGATGCATGAACAGGCGCCAGATTCAGGATTTTTGGCTTGTGTTGGGGGGGTTCTCCCCGCCTCCCGGTCTTATCGACCGCTTATCGAAAGACTAAGAGGTCTTTTAGGGAGCTCTGAGGAGCCAATAACAACGACTCTTACTCGCCCATGGAACCTACGGAGTAGAAACTTGAAGGCCAACACGGATAATCCTTCTCCGTGGGCTTGCCTGGTTCCCTCGGCTCAAAGGGCATTTTATTAATTCTTCGCATACGGGGACTCCCCACGCCTGCAACTCGGTGATTCCTAGCGGCAAAACTCCGAGGCAGCAAGAAAAGGTAAACCCCAGCACCACAGCTTGCGAGACGCGATTCCACCCCGAGCTTCACAGGCTTCAGGCCCACGCCATTCCCCAAACCCGGCGTGCCCCGTCTCCTGCTTCTCGTCCCTGCCGCTCAGTTTCGATGGTGAAGACACATCTGACATAGTACTAGAAGAGCGTCAGTCTCACTGGCTTCCCCTCTCTCTTTGTTACATTCAGCAACGTAAACCACAACTCAAGCCTGGCTTCTTTCATCTCCTCCCTTATCATGCCTTTCTCCGATATGGGTACCTAACTGGGTGCGCTCCCGGCGCAGTCTATGCCCCCGTCCGCATAACATACCATATTACGTCCTGCTCGGTGCTCGAGACCCTTCAACCATGACCGTTGCTCATGTCACCCGGAAGCTGAAAAATGCTGCACGAATCATCCTTGTCGGAGCCCCTGGAGTGGGAAAGGGTACCCAGTCCGAGAGACTTATGACTCGATTCCCGCAGTTGGCTTCTATCGCTACTGGAGACCTCTTGCGCGACCATGTCAAAAACCAAACCAACTTGGGTGAGGAGGAGACTCTAATCTATTGCAGTCGCACCCGGATCGCAGCACTAACAGGTCACTGAATAGGCCAACAAGCGGAGAAATACATGAACTCCGGCGGACTCGTGCCCGACCCTCTGATCCTCAACCTCATTCTCACTGAGCTCACCTCTCGAAAATGGCTAGAGACTAATGACACCAATGACAATATTGTGGCGGCGCTGGGACGTGGAAACGGGTCCGCCTCTTCGGCTGTTCAAGCATCCAACAACCCCGACACCTCTTTTATCCTGGATGGATTTCCTCGAACGGCAAGCCAGGCGCAGGCATTGTCCCACCTCCTCCCCATCAATCTCGTTTTCCACATTGTTACACCTGTGGACATTATCCTCTCCCGCATGGCAAACAGATGGACCCACCTGGCGTCAGGGAGAGTTTACAATGTTGGGTTCAATGATCCCAAAGTGGCTGGAAGGGACGATGTCACGGGCGAGGCTTTGGTACAAAGAGATGATGACAGTGAGGACACCTGGAGAAAGCGACTGGCCAAATTTGATGAGACGAGTAAGAGCTTACTGGATTTCTATCGGAGCAAAGAGGAAGGGTTGGTTGTCAGGGTACAAGGAAATAGCAGCGACGAGATCTCCCCCCTGATATACGCCGAAATCGAGGAGCGTTTTGGATCGTAGTATGGAAACATCACCAGCGAGTCTCTTGTGACTCTGGTTTGGACACAACTCATTTAATAGATTTGTCTGTTACCTCGACTGTGATTTTCCCGACCTCATTGAAATCAGAATGATCCCTGAAGATCCGGATGCCCAGCCAGAGGTTGAAATTGGTCAATCTGCGCGTGACATGAAAACAGCCAAGTCAAGGGTATGTCTGTGGCAGTCAAAAATAAAAATATATTCTATTGTCCGCGGTGATAATGTAGATGGAAAGGAAGAAGGAAAAGCAGGCCAAGCAGAACAGAAAAGTTTCAAGGGCAGAATCTCGTGTGGATCGTCTTGGCAGTGCGCAGCCTCTGCCACTCAGTGCTCCAGGCTGTAAGATGACCAAGGCGCCCGGAGCCTCGTGGGCAGACCTTGACGCCCACATACCCGTGACACTTCACGTAGGGAGGCACATAGGCATACGGAGTATGTACATGCCTGGAAAGGTGTCATGCCGCTATTGTTGTGCACCCAGTGGCACCCACGCACCTCAGATCTCTTGCATACCTCAAAGAGGTACCTTAGGTGGGTACCTAGGTACATCTATGTACTACTATTCACTGACATTCTCGTACGGTGGGTCAAGAGCCACGATTACGATGATGACGGAGGATGGTGCCTAATAATATAGTATTCGACCTCCGCTTCTTACGTACACCAGATCAGCCACATCATACGGAGTACATATCTCACACACAACCTTGAGTGATGTTCTAAAATAGGAGACTAAACCTAATATAGAACCTACGTCGCTTCGCTCCGTAGGATTAAAAGAAATGTCTGAAATTCGAAACAGTGCCATGCCATATTACTTGCATAATAATTCATCATCCGTTTCAGTCTTGATTCTCAACATCCTCTCCAATTATCGACCCAACGAATGCAATCTTTATCCTTGTTTTGGCCTCCAATAATGGCCCACAAAGCGCTGCATCCTCCTAGCCTTGGGTGACACGAAAACTGATCACTGCAACATCCATAGTGTAGATCTAAACTCATCAATACGTACCTATCTATGTACCACGAACAGAATCATTGCACGGCTATAAACACCGCAGGTCAGATGCTGCAGCCTTCCTCTGTCGAGCAATGTGCCCTGTGCTCACGCGTCCACTCACCATGCAAAGCAACTTGAGACAAAATTTGTCGGGCGACTGGCGTCTCGAGTTACCTCTGGACCCGTCTGCGTTGACAGTACCACAGTTGCATGTTCTACCCCAGCTCAATGTCAGCAAAGAATATAACCTTTGAACAAAGAACCCCAAAGCGTCTCAAATTGCTGCTGCGGAGGGCGAACATGGAACTAACTTGGAATGGGAATTTGCGACTACAAATGCCCCAGACGAGACGACCTGCCTCCTTTCAGGTACCCATGACTCCTCGCCACTTGTAAAATCGAATCCTCCAAAGTGAGTTTTAGTGCAGTGGTTTCTCCGGATACCCGCATAAGTCGCGTTCCCTCGAGGTCCGTAGGTTGAAAGTTCCCAGGCTTTAATCGCAGAGCTACATTTCTCGATTTCCTCAATTGATGAGTGCTCGAATGTGCAAGCTGCCCGCTGGTACCTTTTTTCAAGTGATCCCCACCTAAGATTGTGCGTTGTCACGCAGCAGCGACGCCGAAGGTCATATCGAGCCAGTAGCGGGCATAATCAACTCGGATGCCTTGTCACCTGAAGCCAGGATGTCAAAGAGTTGGGTGTGCCTGTAGGCTGTAGCGCGTCATATGGTGACCGTGCGTACCCAAGGCGTGTGCTGGAAGCCTGGGACTCCCCAGGGTGTCGTCCCATCAGACCAATTGAAACCAATGGCCGACCACAGACCCATTTATGCCCACGTCAATATTCAAGATCATCAGCCCAAGAGACCCATTTTTTACTGCTTAGTCTCCTGTTACCAACCTTGGGGAGGAGCGTTGGCGTTGACTTTGGCGTTGGCGTTTAACCCGTCACCTACAAGCAAGGGTCCACGCCACAACCACGTCAGTAAGCAAAGGGACCAGGAAGAACCAGGAGGGACAAAGAGGCTCGGGATCTGGATGGCCTTGTGTGCATCAGAGAGCGCCATGAGGCGAGATCATATGCAGACCACTGCCAACCACGGTGAGGATCACAGTCCTCAGTTCTGTATCTGGTTTAATACAGACACGATGGTTTGAAGATTCCTTTTCATAGGTGGGCATGGAGCGGGCGGCACCTAAACGAGTGCCGTGCTGTGCACCCTTGGCATGCCACCAGCGCCCCAAGGAGCCCACCGAGCCCCATAGTTACGAGCCTTGAGCCCTGGACGGCCGCCTTGAGCGATCCACATGCCGGCCACAGAGCATCATTGGCACCGGCACTGGCACTGATGATGATCCGGTTGACCCCAGAACTGCTCATGTGAGCCTTGTATCTCACCAAATTTCTCCCCCCCTGCGTGGGTCTCAGCAGCCCCTCGGCCCCCCCTGCTACCCCGTATGCCCAGTGTTCTTAACCAGTGTGCCAGTGGACAAGTTTACTTTTTGTGAGGTGGCCGAGGGCCCATACGAGTATGGATGTGTACTCCGTATGTACCTGCCTCCGTTGAGGATCCTGCGGACTTGCCTACTTACTACTTACTTGCCTGCCCGCCTGCCGTCCTTCACACTAAAGTAAGGTTTGATGTCCGTGGCACTATCACAATCAATAACCATCAATCTCTATCTTCTCAATTCAATCCTCGTCACCCTTCTTCCTTCCTCTATTCCCTCTTGTGTACTCTGTCATCTGTTCGACAGCGATCTAACCACCATTTCCTGTCCTTGAACCGATCTACCCTGGTTTGAGGACACCATTCTTCGCAGTGAATCTCCCTCTAACTGCCATCAACTAACAACCCTGGTCAAAGACACTGCGACCTGCGTCGTATTGCACAGTTCCAGAGCTTTCGACAATTCACACCTCCTTGCGTCTCTCATTGCTTGCTCTACTATCCATCAAGACAGCACAGACCTCCTCCTGATCTTCTTCACTTTCTCATCTCCATATCTACGCATATCTTCTCCCTCCAACCCTACTTACCATTCTCCGATCCGGTGGTCCTCTCTTTCATCCAGATCAATCCGATAGGCTCTAGCAGGACAAACATATATCAATGGTTGCGTGGATCTGGCGTCGTGGGACTGCTGTGGAAGGAGCACAATGAAACAAGGGCATAGGAACAAGCGCAGGCATTGCTGCCTTCTTGCTCCAGCTTTCAATACATCATCCCTCCCATTAGGTGGAATACCCTCAAGACAGGATCACCAATTCTTGTCTAATCATTCAGGCTTGAGAGCCATTAATACCATCTACACCCTCAATTTCTAATCCGCCCTACTCCATTGATGGTTTATCTGGGGAAAACATGATCTCCGTTCCATATCATTCACATGTGGATATGGCGTCCACCAGAGATCCAAAACTTTTACACCGACTTCCCGACAATCTTGGTCCCCGGCAATATGCCATCCCAGCCCAAACCTCCCTGCGTCACTCTGGCCGGCAGACATCAACATCAGGTTTGTCGTATCTCGAGCATGAGATGCTGCGACAACGCAAGACCCCCAACGGCCTGCTCCTCGAACACGACCCAGTCTCCCTAGACAAAAACGTTCAGGTTCCTGCTTTGAAGCATGTCATTCTATCTTCCGCCCCTGGCTATCAACCAGTCGACAACCTCCTGACCCTGACATGGTCAGATTTAAACCCACCTTACCAGCCAGCAACTTTTGGTACGTCAAGCACTGAAAGAGGTGTAAACCAACATCATCCATATACCTTGCCTAAATCGTCACACCGAGCTGCCTGGGATTTCCCTGGTGGTCTTGACTCGGTGCTCAACCAGGCCCTCCCGTTGCAGCCCTCCCAAAGATACTATGTCCAGCCAGGTTCCAATGTGCCCACGGTGCTTCCTGCAACGCTTCACGCACAGTTTGGTCCAACCGCCTCGGCTGGTCAGGAGCTGTATGGGCCTTACTGGCCAGATGGTACCTACAATCCCTACCGCCCGGCCGCCATCAGGGACAGCCGTTTGTTCCCCCGTCCTCCAACCGAGCAATTCCCCCTCGATCACCTCCACCGGCCACTGGCTCTGCAGCACGGCAGTCGGTTGCCGGCTATTGGAACCCATGCATATCATGCCCATGATCCATGTCAGCTGATGAATCCACGGCTTTTACCAATGGAATCACCTCTATCATCAAAGTGGGACATGCAGCAAGTTATCTATCCCAATCAACAGCAACAGCAACATCAACAACAGCCATACAAGCCACATTACACTCCTTGCGACCATCCTCTCACGGGCTCTGCGTCCATAACAAGGCCTGTGCTAGGCCCCTTGAGACCCGGGGTTGGCTCTGAGCGCATCACATTCCGGGACAAATCTTTTGCATGGGCAAATCGAATCTACACCGACCTACTGGAGACCATCCGGCTTAACAACAAGAATCAGAGAGGTCGGTCTGCCTCTCATGCATCCTCCAACAATAAGTTGCCAATATTCCCCAAACCTCCGAAGAGATCAGGCTCTCATTTTCAAGAGCACCCCTCCGACAAGTCGGTACGAAATGACAATCTTCCACCGCCATTTATGAGGACGCACAGCGACTCGAGCGTCCACGACTCTCCTTCCAGGCCCCGAACTGCCATTTTTCAGCCTCAGGGCATCAGTTTTTCCGATTCACGGCAACTTCGTTCTGATTTCACTGTTGGCCAGTCCTCGGCCACTGACTATCATCAGAATGATAGAACATATTCTGCACTTCAACATCATTCTCAAGTTCATACCCCCCCTATCAAGCGTCCGCCAACCTTTGAAGAGGCTACAAGTGCTCAGCGAACTATAGAGCTGCTTTGCCAAGAAGCTGATACTCCCTGGGTAGATGGCATGCTTTTGGCTGGCTGTTTAGCATATGGTTTGGGCAATTTCGCAAAAGCCGAGGAATGGTATCTGTCCGTTCTCAAACAGGACAAGGGTCACATTGAGGCTATGTCTAACCTTGCGGCCACATATCATGCTCTTCATCGCCAAGACGAAGCCCTGAGTTATTGGTTCGAGGCTGTCAAGCTGCGGCCCAGTTACTTCGAAGCTGTGGAACATCTCATTGGCCTTCTTTGCGCCAGTCAACGAGCTGCGGAGGCTGTTCAGGTCATTCAATATATCGAACATGCGCTGAAGATTCGTCCCAATGCCAAAACCACGTCCTGGAATGAGTCTAGCGATGCAGAGAGTGATACCAGAAGCCATGCTTCGAGTATCACAACCATCATGTCATATGAGAACGCTCAGTACGACTTTGATCCAGATCACACTCATCGCGCTTCTGACCCTGGTCCTGAACCTTGTGCCCCAGGATTTGGCTCTAGCGGATTTGCGATCTCCGGTAATGACAACGGCCGGATGCTGGCTCTCATACATGCCAAAGGCAACATGTTGTACGCACTCAATAATAGTCACGGTGCGGCTTCTGCATTTGAGGATGCAGTTTTGATTGCCACTGGTCAGAGGAAGGATGGTGTTCGAGGTCTGATATATGAGATTCTAAAAGCGTGCCTGTCAACAACCAGAGATCGAGACTATATCCGATCCAAGCTCGAGGGCAAAGAGCCCGTTCTACTCACGCCAGAACATGCAGAAGCTACTGCTAGGCACATGTTCGCGCCAGACGGAAGCTTGCCAGGCCTAAAATACGTCGATCCTCCTTATGCGAGGCAGGCCGCTGTTTCAACGACGAGCAACTCTTTGCTGTCACTCGCTAAAATCTATCAAGACGGCATGTCAAATGCCACCAACATCGGTAGTCTGAAGTCTCCAAGCACGCGCGATATCTTGGCTTTATACTACTTGTCTCTTTCGCTTCAACGGAGTCCATCGACGGCTAATAATGTTGGGATCCTTCTCGCGGGTGTCCAGCAAACGGTGCATCCTACTCATTTGGCCGAGTCAAACTTCTCTCAGATTTCCAACATCGCGGGAGTAGTTGCAGGCAGCGGCATATCTCTTGCTTTAATGTACTACAACTACGGCCTTAACATCGATCAGAAACATGCGCACCTCTTTACAAACCTGGGCAGTCTTCTCAAAGACATTGGTCAGTTAGGTGCGGCGATCAAAATGTACGAACGAGCTGTAAATTGCGATGGGAAGTTTGATATTGCATTGGCAAATCTTGCCAATGCGGTTAAAGACCAAGGTCGTGTCGCCGATGCCATCACTTATTACAAAAGAGCCGTCACTGCCAACCCAGAATTTGCCGAGGCAGTCTGTGGATTAGCAACAGCCCTAAATTCAGTATGCGACTGGAACGGTCGTGGTGGCATTTGTGTACGAGACCCACAACGTGATCGCCTCCATGTCGATGACCAAGGAATGCGACACGAACCGACAAGATCATATGGTTGGATCAGCCGAGTTGTCAACATTGTCGAGAAACAACTGAAAGATGGAGAGATGTGGGGCTGTGGCACCCTGACCCCGACGATCATTGATTCAGTCTCCCACCAGCTCACTGTCCACCGACAGTTCTCAAAGTCCGGCAATCACCATGCCCTTGTCAACTCCTTGAAAGAGGCTCTGCAACAGTGGTCCGGGAAAAAATGGGAAGGATCTCGACTGGTGAGATTGGTGGAGAAGACGATCCAGAGGATTGGATGGCAGTGGTATCAAGACCGCTATAAAGACCACAAAGAGTATCCTATTTGGAAGTACACGCGGCCAACTCTTCCAAACGCCATCTCGCCGCCGTCAGCACCTACAGTTCTTCCTTTCCATACATTTACCAGCCCCTTGTCAGCAAAGGAGGTGAGACAGATCTCGCAACGCAATGCTTTACGAATCTCAGTCTGCACTCTTCGATCGGTATGGCTTCCAAGAACAGTATACCCACCTCCACCTCCTCCTCGGCCTTGTCTCAATGTGGGATACGTCAGTTCCGATTTCAACAATCATCCACTTGCACATTTGATGCAATCTGTGTTTGGTTTGCATGACCCCAGAAGCGTGCGGGCAATTTGCTATGCAACAACAGCATCAGACTCCTCTACTCATCGACGACAAATCGAACGCGAGGCTCCTATTTTCCATGACGCGTCTTCATGGGGCGTGGAGCGTCTGGTCAATCAGATTGTTCAAGATGAGATCCATGTGCTTGTAAATCTCAATGGATACACCCGAGGCGCGCGAAATGAGGTGTTTGCCGCACGGCCTGCACCAATTCACATGTCGTTTATGGGCTTCGCGGGTACTTTGGGAGCAGAGTGGTGCGACTATGTGTTTGCGGATTCGATTTCAGTCCCATCAGAGACTCTGTCCCCTTGGAGACGAAATGTCGACCTCGAAGACCGCCTGCGTCCGGATGCCTTGGCCGAAGATGCTGAAGACTGGGTTTACGCCGAAAATGTTATCTTCGCTCGCGACACTTTCTTCTGCGTTGATCACAAGCAAAGTGCACCCGATGCTGCCAATGGTCGCCCAAATTACAAGGACTCTGCCGCGAAAGATGACGCTTGGGAGGAAGAACAAACGAGACGTTGGAAATTGAGGAAGGAGTTGTTCCCAACCCTTTCAAACACTGCAGTGATCCTCGGAAACTTCAATCAATTGTACAAGATCGATCCTTCGACATTCGCCATGTACTTGGACATACTCAAGAGGGTCCCTAACGCCATATTATGGCTCTTACGCTTCCCCGACCTAGGAGAGCAAAACTTGCTCCGCTACGCACAGAACTGGGCTGGCCCAGAGGTCGCTCAGAGAATTATCTTCACTGATGTAGCGGCAAAGGGTGCGCACATCACTAGAGCTTCGGTGGTTGATCTTTTTCTTGATACTCCTGAATGCAATGCCCATACGACTGCAGCCGATGTCGTCTGGTCGGGCACACCGATAGTGACGTGGGGAAAGTGGAAATACAAGATGTGCAGTCGAATGGCAGGGAGTATTGTTGCGAGCGCACTACCAGAGGGCAAAGCTGGTGACGAAGCTCGCTCGGACTTATTGGTCCGAAGTGAACGGGAGTACGTCGACACTGCTTGCGATCTTGCCCGGGGATTACGTTATCCTGGGACAGAGACGAATGGGAAAAGGTTAGGTCATGGGAGAGGCAGACTCATGGACCTTCGGCGTATGTTATGGGAAGGGCGTTGGACGAGTCGTTTATTTGACACCGAGCGTTGGGTCAGAGACGTGGAGCGGGCGTACTGGGCTGCATGGAAAAAGTGGGAACAAGGAGAAGGTGGCGATATTTGGCTGTAACGAGCTCGATCCTTTATGGCACTCTACACCCACTCTGAACACAACGACATGAAGGGTATTGACGAGAAGATGAATTATGATGAATTATGAATGCAACAACCCCAGGTTGCCGAGGACATGGAGCCTTGAAATGAATGGCGTCAAAATGGGGTTTCGGCAAGGATCTGCCAGGAGCGGTCAAACAAGTAGCCAGTCGTGGGACTTGAATCAACTAGAAGATTCACGTTGAAGAAAGTTGAAGCTAAGAACTCTGATACAGAAGCGATAACATTCTCAACTATGGATCTAGGAATAGCCTGAATAAGTAGGCTATGCCAGAGGCTATCGCTTGTCTCTCTATGTTTGACAAGCCAGTGTGTTGCTAAACAGCACTTAGCAAACAGAGAGAGCAAATAGCACACGACAACTAAAGAGACAAAGGAAATGAGGTGAGTAGAGTCATTGTTCCAACTAAGAATAGGTACAGTGGACAATCAATCATTGATAAGGTTTCAGGACAGAAGGAGAGCAAGATGGAAAAGGTGTTCTTTCATGACTATTACTACATGATATGATATCTCGAGCCGATGGTGACAAAATTCTTGCTGGAACCCGGCGAATGAACCTGAGCAGCTCAGACATAGATAGATTGAGGCGCTCAGGTGAGCGATGATGGAAAGCTCAGTCGTTCACTTAATATTACTCTCCTCATGTGTATGAAGATTGTTTTTCAGTCATGTCACGGTAGGCCAAGCACATCTGTTCTATTCTATTCTTACATTCTCTTCCTACAACTTAACTCTCGATCTCTATCTCTCCCCTTGTTGTGCAACCTTCTCAATATGGTAGAAAGATAGAAACCAAGCCAAGATCTTGCGATCTTCTCAGGTGACCTTGAGTTTTGTCAATACCTCCTTTCCACCACATAGGATAGCTTTGACTTGAATCTCGAGCTTTTTGCCATTCACATTGTACGGGATTTCGGGACACAGAATATAAAGGCGGGAACATATCTTCTACTGAGATCCTTTGCGATTTCCTCTCGGATGCGTCGATCTAATTCAAGGTCGAGTCTCAAAGGGTGGCCGTTACCGATGGTGTTGGTGCTGTCGTTGTACGCTGCTGTGCACTTGACAAACAGTATGACTTACTTGATAGCGTCAAAATAATAGTGATTGGCCTCGTTGCTCTCTAACTATACACATATCTAAGATCTAGGATGAGAATCTCGAGGTCAGCACGATTTCCCAGATATCTGAGCTGTCGAATCGGACTCCTGAAGGGTTCAATACACCGTCCCTAAGTAGTCTTTGTGTCAGTATATATCATATTCCATGAGGAAAGTTCCCTTTCACTCTATAGGTCTCCATAAGGACCAGGAAATGCAGAGTCATGGTGACGATTCTGTCTCTTGACGTTGGATGTGTCCCCTAAACCAAGTAGTCATGGGGTCACAAAAGCACCTCGCTCTCGATATGTTCGTTAAGCATACATCATATGTTCCTTTACATTGACGTACTCCTTCCCGTGTCTGAAGAGGATTTCCCAGTGGACAATTGGAGTGTCAAAGTCCAATATCACGCCTTTGATACCAATCTCGTTCCTTCGCAACAGCTGGTCAGAAGATCGTATCACACCCAAGTCCAGGCTCGGTCGTCGCTGTAGATTCCTCAAAGATTGGGACATCGTACTTCATTTCTGGGCAGTTTTCGAAGAACCTTGCCTTCATGGTCCAGTTCTTGTAATTGTACACGTATTCCAAAAATACGGGAGCAAATTCAAACTGATCTTGTAGCGGATCATAACGGAATATCTCCTCATCGGGAAAAGGCCAGAAAAAGTGAAAGTTGTCCACATATGCCGCCGAGAATGCACCGGATGCGGAATACTTCTCGTGCTCAAAGACCAAGCGATCACGCATCCCAGGCCTAACAGGAAAGGTCAGCGTCGTGGAGACTAATCATCACAACAAGAGAGGGAGAGAAGTGAATCGCTGGCTAGCAAAGAGACGACATTGAGGACATACCATACCAGAAAATCGACCACGACTGGGTGGTCTAGTCTTTCTTGGGCCGGTCTACCATTTCGTCAGACTGTTTTGTGGCCAGAAGGTTGATTTGGACATGAAAATAAACTCACCTTGGCTGTAAAAAGTCAGGAACTCGACTCAGATTTGCTGTGGTCGGATCCTCGCGATACTGGATCAGAGTCTGGCAAATATACATCATTGCAATCCTTTGAGCCTTTGATGTCCAAGAGCCAAAGATGCGCTGATCGACCATTCGCAAAGCATTCCACACTGGATGTTCAGCTTCCTGGCCAACGTTTTTCCAGCCCCACAACGCGGCCTGGAAGGCGACTTGAAAGTCCATGGTTGTGGCTGACTGGACCCGTCGTTTGACAGAGTCAAGGGCTCCAAAGTAGGCGGTATTGCCCACGAACCACTTCTGTCTGTCTGAAACAATGCCACCTCCCACATCGAGCATCCCTGGCCGGAGTTCGTGGAACAGTGGAGATCTGAAGACATTCCAACTTGCCAACCCTGTCTGGTCGACAAGTTCGAGGATGTTCTGCTGGTCGAAATCGAACTTCTTCCCGCCTGAATCATCGTAGTCATCATCTTGAGCAGCGCTGTTTTCGAGCACGTCATGTCCAGATGACTCTTCTTCCACGTTAAAGTGAATACCCATGGCTGTATGAGGTGAGGTCGGCATTGCCGTTGTGTCGCTATCACCCAGGCCAGATTCACCGGAGTTGCATTGCGTCCAATCCGTACGCACCAGCTCGAGTGGAGTAATCGAGTCGGTAGAGCATACAGAGCTGTGCTTGTTTCCTGGGCTGTTGCAGGCCCAAGGCTTGCGTTCAATATTATGATCAGGTGCCTCGTCTTCGGGAATGAGAGCCACTAGGCTGATAGCATTCTGTATCTTGTTTAGGGCGGAACGAAGCTGGGAGTTGTTATCTCGAAGGTTTGCAACCAATTGCAACAGTGAGTTGGTATTAGTTGAATCATTGTCGGACCTGAGACTGTTTAGAGCTTGTTCAAGCGAGGCTATGCGCTGCTTTGTCTTCTCTCGTGCTGCACGTTGAGCTAGACGATCTTGTATCTTCTTTTTTTCCGTCCGTTGACGAGGCTTCGTCACCTTTTTTCCATTAGCAATAGCCGAGGATGAGGCTAACTCTGGCTTGTTGACGGATGGGATACCCGCCATTGGCGTGTAAAGGTTCGGTGACCACCCAACAGATGTCTATGCTTGTTCGTATTTGCTCAAAAAGAGAAAAGTGGAAAGGATGACTCAGTTGGTTTACAATGTATGACTTTGCGAAAAAGAGTCAGACAACACATAGCAAGTCATATGGCATGATCTGTCAGATTTTTGACTCGGAGTCGGAGAGAGAGGCAACCCCCCTCCCACATGAGGCGAGGTAGGTACATCAGCCGACGGCCTGGGTGCGCGATTGGGGATGAGCGACTGGGGATTCAGACGCGGAGTACATGGGCACGATGGGGTACAGGACATCCGAGTATCCTGATGGTTATGATGGGGACTTTCAGCGTCCTCAGCCTTTTATTGGCCTTTTATTAGGCACGTTGGACCCTCATCTCTTGAGAGGGGCCAAGCCGGGGACAAGGTCGGTTAAGGCGGATGATCAGCCAAGAAGATTGTTGTAGGAATTTGATCTACAGACCTTTTACTCGTATGGTAATAGAGTCATTGGGAAATTCTACGAGTAAGCGTTGTGTCTGACTTTTTTCGTCTGAATCGACCATATGTGGGACCCCTGTCTCCTCATTCAGTGATATAGATACATAAACAAAAGATTAGTATCTTTCCCTGGGGAAACATGTCGCAAAGCTTTCTTTCTCACTCAGACGGTGCTGAACACAAACACCTAAAACACAAAGATAAGCATTACCCGCAACCTTGTGTCCGTCCTCTACATTTTGAGTTCACCTACTGTACTTGATCACTGCGCCAGCACAAGCAGCAGCAGTAACAACAAACATGATGGGAATCCGTCAACTTCGTGGCAAGACGCTGTACTTGCTCATGAAGCTAGTATGCGGTACTTCGTTCATGATGTACGGGGTAAGAAGGATCTCCCAACATTGTTTTGACCCATTAGCATGAAGCTTAGTACTAATCTTTATATACTTGCATTGTAGTACGATGCCGGTGTATTGGGAGGAGTTCTCCTTCACCAGCCCTTCATTGACGCCATTGGGCTCGAGGGCACCGGCCAATATACAATTCCCATGATCTCCAGCTCATACAGTCTCGCTGCATTTGTGACATCCGTCATTCTTGGATTCTTCTCCCTCCGACTAGGTCGTCGCGGTACCATTCTCCTCGGCAACGGAGCGGCGATCGTAGGCAGCATCATTCAATCGTCGGCCTACAGCATCGCCCAACTCACAGTCGGCAGAATTATTACCGGGTTTGCTATTGGTTGTATTTCATCTGCTGTTCCAATATACCTGGCCGAGACTGGAGTTGATTCTGGCGACCGAGGACCAGCGCATGCAGTGAATGCCATCATGTTGATTTCTGGAGTTCCCCTCGCCTACTGGATCGACTATGGCTTTACAAAAATGGACAATCAAATATCATGGCGGGCTCCCGTCATCTTCCAGATCATCCTCGCCGGTGTTGCCGGTGGATGTATGCTGTTTTTACCGGATACTCCTAGATGGTATTATGCTCGCAACCGGAATGCAGAAGGCGATGCGATTCTGGCTCGTCTTCATGACGCACCTTCTTTAGATGACCCTCATGTTCAACGAACGAAGCAAGAAATCTTGCTGGCCATCGAGGCAGAGATGGAAGCCAGCGCCAGCTTGCACTGGAAACAGTTCATCAGCATGGGTATCACCGATCGTTCTCCGCTCAAGATTGCGAGGAGATTGTGTATTTGCTTCTGGCTGCCGTTCATCCGCGAATGGATGGGATCTTCCTTGATGGCATATTACAGTTAGTTCCTTGTTCTCATCTCCCCCGTCGTTTGAGCTCACATTGATATTGACTTGTTTGTGAAGGCGCCATCATCTTGGTCAATACTGGTGCGACTCCGACTCTGATTTCTATGCTTGCGGGAGTGCAGAATATCATTTTCGCCCTTGGTTGCGTTCCTTTCTACTTCACCATCGAGCGAACCGGTCGCCGGAGCACTCTTCTGTACGGTGCCATATTTATGACCATTCTCATTGTCATTTTCATCTCTTTGGTCGCCGTACCTCAGACCGGGGCAATCCGTTGGGCTTCGATTGCCATCCTCTGGTTTTTCCTCTTCGTCATGGGCTATGCTTATCAGGGATGTGTGTGGCTATATTGTTCAGAAATATCTCCTCTTGAATACCGTCATATCGGTGGTGCCGCTACCTCTGCTGGCGAGTGGCTCGGGACCTGGCTCACCGTGTTTGTCGGGCCCATTGGTTTCGACAACAGTGGCTGGCATTTTTGGTTCTGGGTGCTGAGTGGCAACTTGGTGGCCGTCGTATTTGTCTTCTTCTTATGCCCCGAGACTGGTGGAAAGACCTTGGAGCAGGTCGACAGCCTTTTTGCATCTGGTGGTATCCTTGCCGGGCTCTCCAAAGACCCTTACAATGAGGAGCAATGGGTAGAGGGCTCCACCGAGAAACCCTCTCAAACTGAAACCACTACAGAGATCAAGTGATGTGAGGAATGTGCACGTGCCGTTGATGGAC